AGATGCTTCCCCTTCCATTTACCCCTGGTTGTCTGTCACACTTTTTTTTTTCTTTTAAATAAAAACATTAAAAAAAATAAACTTAACCCATGATTCTTTTAAACAATCACACCTTCTTGGCATTGATTAATCATAAGGCTGAAAGGATTTCTATCACTGGGTCTTTGCCTCTATCTCCATGTTAGTTTTCTCTTTGTCTCTCCTCTTGCACCCCGTCCACGTCTCTGTGTGTATTCTGAGATCTCTGCACGTGTTTTTCTCATCACGTTTCTGTGCACATGCCTGCTTTCCCTCACTCCACTTGTCGATGGTTCCTTTGCTTTCTGTATCTGTGGTCCTTTCATCTGACTTTCCTCTCTCTTTGTTCTCTATCACCCTCCTTTCTCAGTGTCCCCTATCTCTCAAACATCCTTCTTCTCTGCCTTGAGGTCTGTCTCTCTTTGTTTCTTGGTGTTCCCCAACCCCACGTTACCTGCCCTTCCATCTCTCTGTACCTGTTGTATTCCTTTTCTGCAAGGGTCTCTCTTTTTCTGTTTTAATCTCTCCCCAATTTTTGTAATTAAACCCCTTCAACAGAGAGAATACAAAGCATTACAGATAACAATATGACCCTTCTTTTCCCCATCTCCTTGAGGGGTACACCTGGGAGCCTCTCAGAGGGCAAAGGCTATGAAGAGGAAGGGGAAATGGACCCACCTCTTGTGGGTTTGTATCATTAGGCCCTGAGTGATTGAGAATTGGCTCAATGTGCACGTAACATCACAAGGACTTTTTTTTTTTTTTTTGTATCTTATTTTATTATAAGTTCTGGGATACATGTGCAGGATGTACATGTTTGTTACACAGACATGTGCCATGGTGGTTTGCTGCACCTATCAGCCCCTTACCTAAGCATTAAGCCCTGCATGTATTAGCTATTTTTCCTGATGCTATGCCTCCTCCTACCCCCCACCCCTCGACAGGCCATAGTGTGTGTTGTTCCTCTTCCTGGGTCCATGTGTTCTCATTGTTCAACTTCCACTTATAACTGAGAACATGTGGTGCTTTGTTTTCTGTTCCTGAATTAGTTTGCTGAGGATAATAATTTCCAGCTATATTCATGTCCCTGCAGAGGACACAATCTCATTCCTTTTTATGGGTGCATAGTATTCCATGGTGTATATGTACCACATTTTCTTTATCCAGTCTATCACTGATGGGCATTTGGGTTGATTCTGTGTCTTTGCTATTGTACCTAGAGCTTCAGTGAACATATGTGCACCTGTATCTTTATAATAGAATAATTTATATTCCTTTGGGTACATACCCAGTAATGCGATTGCTGGGTCAAATGGTATTTCTGGTCTAGGTATTTGAGGAATTGCTACACTGTCTTCTATAATGGTTGAACTAATTTACATTCCCACCAATAGTTTAAAAGCATTCCTATTTCTCCACAGCCTCGCCAGCATCTGTTGTTTGACTTTTTAATACTTGCCACTCTGACTAGCATGAGATGGTATCTCATTGTGGTTTTGATTTGCATTTCTCTAGTGATCAGTGATGTTTAGCTTTTCTTCATATGTTTATTGGCCACATAAATGCCTTTTGAGAACTGTCTGTTCACATCCTTTGCTCACTTTTTAATGAGTTTTTGTTTCTTATAAATTTAAGTTCCTTGCAGATTCTAGATACTAGACCTTTGTCAGATGGATAGATTGCAAAAATGTTCTCCCATTCTGTAGATTGTCTGTTCACTCTGATAATTTCTTTGGCTGTGCAGAAGATCTTTAGTTTAATTAGATCCCATTTGTCAATTTTTGCATTCGTTGCATTTGTTTTTGATGTTTTTATAATGAAATCTTTGCCTGTGCCTATGTCCTGAATGGTATTGTCTAGATTTTCTTCCAGGGTTTTTATAGTTTTAGGTTTTACATTAAAGTCTTTAATCCATCTTGAGTAAATTTTTGTATAAGGTATAAAGAAGGGGTCCAGTTTCAATTTGCTGCATATGGCTAGCCAGTTCTCCCAGCATCATTTATTAAATAGGGAATCACTTCCCCATTGCTTGTTTTTGTCAGGTTTGTCAAAGATCAGATCGTTGTAGGTGTGTGGTCTTATTTCTGAGTTCTTTATTCTCTTAAATTGGTCTATGTGTTTGTTTTTGTACCAGTATCATGCTGTTTTGGTTACTGTAGTCTTATAACATAGTCTGAAGTTGGGTAGTGTGATGCCTCCAGCTTTATTCCTTTTGCTTAGGATTGTCTTGGCTATATGGGCTCTTTTTTGGTTCCATATGAGTTTTAAAGTAGTTTTTTCTTATTCTGTGAAAAATGTCAATGGTAGTTTAATGGGAATAGCATTGAATCTATTAACTACTTTGGGCAATATGGCCATTTTCACGATATTGATTCTTCCTATCCATGAGCATGGAATGTTTTCCATTTGTTTGGGTCATCTCCAATTTCTTTGAGGAGTGATTTTTAGTTCTCCTTGAAGAAGGCCTTCCCTTCCCTTGTTAGCTGTATTCCTAGGTATTTTATTCTCTTTGTAGCAAGTATTAATGGGAATTCATTCATGATTTGACTCTCTGCTTGTCCGTTGTTGGTGTATATGAATGCTTGTGATTTTTGCACATTGATTTTGTATCCTGAGACTTTGCTGAAATTGCTTATCAGCTTAAGAAGCTTTCGGATTGAGACGATGGGGTTTTCTAGATACAGGATCATGTCATCTGCAAACAGAGACAGTTTGACTTCCTCTCCTCCTGTCTCAATACCTTTTCTTTCTCTCTCTTGCCTGACTGGCCTGGCCTGAACTTCCAACACTATCTTGAATACGAGCTGTGAGAAAGGGCATCCTTGTCTTGTGCTGGTTTTCAAGGGGGGAATGCTTCCAGCTTTTGCCCATTCAGTACGATATTGGCTGTGGCTTTGTCATAAATGGCTACTATTATTTTGAGGTATTTCCCATTAATACCTAGTTCATTGAGTTTTAGCCATGAAGAAATCGTGAATCTTGTCAAAAACCTTTTCTGTGTCTATGGAGATAATCATGTGATTTTTGTCTTTAGTTCTGTTTATGTCATGAATTGTGTTTATTGATTTGCGTATGTTGAACTAGCCTTGCATCCCAGGGATGAAGCCATCTTGATCATGCTGGATAAGCTTTTTGATGTGCTGCTGGATTTA